TCCAAGCTGGATCTAAGCCAATCGGGCATGTCACAGTTGTGAGCAAGACTGCGCTCTTCGAGACAACTGTGAAAAAATGTCATAGATTTCACGTGACGTTCATCTCGGTGAACAGCGCCGAGTCGTGAATCAGTCGTATGTATAGTCATTCGCTCGTGTCTTCCTCGACAGTTGAGCTCCAAAAGGCGACAGCAGGCGGCGAGGGAGATGCAAGCACCCAGCCCATGATACCTGGCACTCGATGTTTCTTACTGACTATACCGTTTTGTGTAATTTCACAAAGACCGTCGCATTTTTTCGAAGTATATTGGAGGGAATTGATAATAATAACATAGTACTGCTAGTGATTCTCTCATGGAGGGCGTGTTCAGATGACTTGTCAAACTTGTATATTGTCACTTTTGTTCGAATGTCGTCAAACTCAGACCACTGTGTGGAAATCGCAATAAATGTTTCAAATAAGGTCCCCTATGGCACATTCTGTTTGTGAATTGATCACTAATGACTCATTAGTATTACTAGTCTAGTAATGAGGGACCAGAAGTTCTGTACTGAGGACGAATCTCTTACTTGGGAAGTAGGATGTAAGTTACTTTCCTGGCAGCAGATCTACCTTGGTCCGAAATTCTTGATTTATCCTTGCAAGCCTTAGTTGTGATGAAGTGGGACATGGACACACTCAAGTTCACCCTCTCAAAATCGATTGTAGCATTGAATGCTACAAACAGGATTGATAAGCAGAATGCTAAGCATTCTGACATACTTGGAATCTTAATGTCAAACTTGCTTGTATCATTGATTCTTGGCTGCTCATGTGTCAATGACATATAAGCAGGCTAAGAGGAGCATGCCCCATCACAACGGTATAAAAGTGGTTGCTTGACTTACGCAGGATCGTGTTGGTCACTGGAGAAGACATCACATGGAGATGCTTTATCATCGGAATGAGCTGTTGGAGTTATTGAATTGGTAGAGAGTTCTCATCGTGGAGACCGATGTCACTATTAAACACAAAACTCATTGAAGAGGAAGAGAGAAACGGAAGTGTATTGAAGTCATCAGTCGAGTTGCTTCTTCCACCGCCCACCAACTGTGGTCTCATTTGGGGTGTTCGCCAGCAAATGCACTTCAGTGGGATGATCACATATGGTAGAGAAATCGTCAAAGCTGAGCTCCTTGGCTTTGTACCAATCCGCCTTCCTCTTGTACGGATTCTTAAACGTCACCACCACGTACGCTCCCGGTTTGATGAGTTCACTTGCCTGCCTCAACATCGCAAGGCTCTCAGGTGGTGGCAGATTGGCGTCACAAACGTAGACATCGAGTGACTCCCTATGGCCTTCGTGTTCTAGCAGCTTCTGAATGGCCTCCTGACCAAGCATATCCCAATGCTCGATTTTACCATCACTTTTTGAACAATCAACTTCGCCTTTATCCACGGCTATGATTCTGCCGACACCTTCATTATAGAGGTACCGACTCCAACCACCCGGGCTGGCCCCCACGTCTATGGCCGTCATTTCGTCCCTTTTTTCGCCGAATTCATAACCAAATCGTCTGAATGCCTCAGCCAATTTGTATTCGGCTTTACAAACACTGTCCGTTAACCGACCATTAGATGTCTCTACTATGTTTCCAATGTAACACTCTTCTGGCTGGCAAATTCCTAGGAGGTAGAGTCCGTCGATATAGACCACTTGAGCTACATGAGTGTAGTCTCTGGGATGGCACATACCCTCGGGGAGGTAATCAGCAATGATTTTTTGATATCGACTGGGGAAAGTCTGCAACCGCAATACCGCACCAGCCGGGCATTTCTCACGTAGTAGGTCAGCGGCGCCCTCAACACTGGTGGCGACCTCAGTGAGGTTGGTGTAGATCCTCTTCAAAACATGGCATAAATTCACATCGTTCAAGACGGTTTGCCAGTCTCGAAGCCTCGAGTCTTCTCCTATAAGAAGCATTCGCTCTCCCACCGCACATAAAGGCGTCCACGAGGTACGGCAGCTACCACCGTACTCATGCTCGATGTACTCAACAAGACGCTCTTCATAACCAACTTGGCACTGCAGCACTACGTTGGGGATCCTTATGGAGGGGACGTCTCGAGTCGGCCAAGAATCTTCCAGAGCAAACATCTGCATTTTACCGCGAGTACCAGGCTCCACCATTTTCCATCGATTGACCACGAAGCTGCACTCATTCTTGGACTCATCCTCGGGCCAACCCTCGAGCCGAACACAGTCCCCAGGTCGAACAGTGTGGCAGAATTCAGCGTAGTTCTCACAAACATCAGTGTGGTCGTTGAGGGTGGGCGACTTCAACAAGACGGTTTTGAACTGATAACAGCCCGACTCGGCTGGCAGGGCAACACTTAGGAACATCATGCGACGATAATGTAATCTACGTTGGAGGACGACCACTTCCCCCAGGGAAGACGTAGGAGGTGCCGCCTCAGTGGTGATGGAGGAACTAACCATGCTCGACAACAACCACCTGGGTGAGAACTAATCATCGTTAACTCATCACATGATATCGAGGTACTTCAATGAGACGAAACAAAATCATCTCGTCTTTGACACATCTGAATTTATTATCATCATTACTTGCCTTGAAAACTGTTAACTCCCTCGTTCTCTCCAATGCATGTCAAACTGATCCCAGCATTGAATTACAAGCTCCTACGTCCCCCACCAGAGTAGGACAACTTGACATTTTCTTCGTCAACTCCGTTGGAGTCGACCCCTCACTCCACTACTACTTCAACAAAAGTCGTAGTCTTTGACGGTATATTGCGTATGAAACTTGCGGCTTAGATAACGACAAGTATAGGGAAAGATACCAATCATGAAGATTGGTATTCGCGATGAGTATTTCCCCCCTCAGTCGTTAATGCGTGATCTTAGTATGAAAAAAAATCACCAACATGGTTGTGATTCATGATCGTGCTTTCACAAGTCATCATCACTGGTCTCCTTCTGCTCACTAGACTCCTCCTCATCAAGATCTTCCTCCTCCTCGGTTGTCTCTTCCTTCTCCTCCTCAACATTCTTCTGCTCAGCCTGACATTAGACGCAATACACCCTGCAATGACACCAACCAGACCCCTACTTCCTCCTTGGCCTTGGCCTCCTCGACAGCTTTCAACTCCCTGAACTCTTCAAAAAGAGCGTCTGCTTCTTTGGGATCGTCGGTGATTATGAAATTATCGAAAATTGCGCCTGAGGTCACCTGAGCAGGAAAATACCCGAGAAACTATCATTGCCGGCCTCTTACTTGCCAAACGTCGAGAGCGACCGTTCCGAAATCAAACTTATGCATCTTTTCGATAGGAACGTAGTTCGGATTAGGGATCTTCTTCGGCTTCCATTCTCCCTGCAAATCAGCACTCACTTACTCAACAACTACTTCAACTCTACCTTATAGTCTGGATTAGGGATTTTCTTGCCGTTCCATGGTCCTTTATAATCGGGGTTGTCGATCATAGGCCGCTCCCACTCACCATCCTGATAACATTTCAAATCACCACAACCCTACAGCGAGCTCAACACACCTCTTCCTCATCCCAGTCATCAGGTTTGGTCGCCTTCTCGTCGGGAATCTTCGCCTCGTCCACCCAATCTTCAGGCTTCTTATCCTCGGGATCATCCATCATCGGAGAGTCCACCTACGAGGATCGCCCATAATGGTGACCTACATCATCAAGATGGCCTCACCCAGTCCTCAGGCTTGGTGTCCTCAGGGTCATCGATTTCAGCAGGTTCGCCGAACTTCCAGTTCTCCTCAATGGAGCCATCAAAGAGCTCTTCTCCATCGACTTCCACCCTGACGGTGTCGTTTGGCCGAAGCACGAGCCGGTACACATGAGACGAAGTGTCTTGCTGCTTGTAGGGCAGGTCTTCGGTCTTCAGAATGTTATCTTTGCCGTTGTTGAAAATGAGATGAGTACGACTATTGAAGCCACACTTATCAGGTCCAAACATAATATTGTAACTGAAGATCAAATCCCTAGAAGAAATCCTTGCTAGTCGAGGCAACCCACGCTGAATCGCTGTCGAAAGCGGAGAGATTGTCCATCTTGGGAGCAAACTTCAAGTAGCCGCCACCGCAATCCATACCGTCCTCATACTTGACCTGGGAGGAAAAAATTAACAAGAAAACGACGCGGGATTTCCTTCCCTACTTGATACTGGAAAATGACTTCTTTATCTTCACTGGAGAAGGGCTGGTCGAGCTCTCTAATGTAGGCGTAGTAGCGGTGGTCCTCAGCGGTTTCTGAGCGGGAAAGGGGTCAGTAGGTCAACAAGAATGCGGTGAAGTGAGCCTACTGAGGCCTCTGTTTTTCTTCTCATCCGCGAAAACATTGCCAGCGGCGTGCTCAACCTTGCCATGGAGATGCTCGCCCTGCCACTTGGAGTTAACCCAGCGCTCTTCCCAACCTGAGGGAGATCATAATAGAGCGCTGACGGAGACGTCGTACCATCGGGGAAGGTCTCCTTGAGGAAAACGGTGGCAGCAGCGGGGAGGGCTAGACCCAATGGAGCGATGAGTCTCATGAAAACTGGTGATAAAATGCTGCAACACAAGCGGTAAAAACCACAATAAAAACCGCTATAAATCTACGAGACCACGTGATGCTATGAATAACACCGGCAGGTTAGTGTACATAGACCATGTGCAATGCTCTAGCATTGCACGTTGTCTATAAATGCAGATGAACTTGAATTCACGCGCATTTGAGGATGGTACGCATACGTTCCCTCGGGCGCGCTCTATTTTCGGCGCATCTTCCTCTGTGCGCGGTCCGCGTTGATAAACGCGGTATACGAGGATGATCCCGAGTGATAGGAACTTTTTAATCGTTCACTTCTGATCGTAGAAAGCTTTCCCGCGTGAGATTTTGCGTATATTTGTGACAACTAGCTGCCCGCGTTGCGCTGCACCCCCTAGGAGCCACATAAAACGCAAACTCCCTCTTCCCCTGCACGTGTTGGACTTCACAATAGGGATATGAATACCCAAAGCGATCGAGCCACGTATGAAGCCAATCTGTATTCAACAGTCGCTATTGGGGTGAACTAAATAGCATGTTTATTAACGATGATTTTTTTGAAGGAAATCCTTCAAGATTGTCATTGAGTCGACGCGAGAACAGTGTGGGAAAATGCGCACATGGTCAACCACATGTGTTGGTGCCGAAATGAAAATTATGAGAAAATTTTGGTAAATTCTCATTGATTTATGTGCATTCCTACACCATTCGTATGTTGACATGTATATTTCGTAGGTAAACTGTCAAGCTCAGCTGGCGAAGGCGAACATAATTTCCAGCATTGCGCGAGAAGAGGATGAGCACGAGTCTATCTCCCCTGAGAGTGTTCAAGTCAAATTATACACTGCTAGGATAAGATGTTTTACCGTTCAAGTCAAGCTGAACTAGGATGACGACTTGAAGGATTGTGTTAACCTACCATAGCTAAGCTAGATACGCTGTAGTTGGCGCTAGTCTTTATTCATAGTTCCTAATTGTAATGTGATGATATGATTATGATCTCATAGTAACGTGATGATAATCGTGCAGGGCTCTTTCTCATTTCTTCTATTGATTTGATAATAAACCTGCCCTACTCGTACAGTTGTGTTGAGTTCGAGTACACTACACCTTCGATCCCCGGTAAAGGCTTTTTTCTAACAATTTTTAAAGGTCACTAGGAACGTGTCGGGTCTTTCAATAATAATCAGTTTTGGAATTGGTTTTGAAAACTCATTCTTAGAATTGCGTTTATTGGCAGTGGTCTTGGAGTGCGCGTTCATCTGAATTCACCCGAGTGAGTTTTTAAGGTCATTTTTCAAAACCAATCAACAGTTTCGCTCCGCTGTTGGATACCCGATCTTCTCGAATCCCCGGTGTCAATTCGCTGCTATCAAACGGACCCCCGTTTAATCAACTACGGAAAGCCTTAGTTACTTGTTAACCTGTTATATATGTCTGAGGTGGCATCAAGTGATAAGGATTTTTCCGATACAGCTACTACAGTCGCGACCGAGGAAGAGCCCACTCGCCATATCGATGCTACGGCACTGAAGGTAACCTATTTTGAATCTTTCACTTCGGAACCTAAGATTCTCCTCCCCAGGTGACCTATAATCCAGTACGGTCTTCTCTACCTCTTCTGAGCTCTCTCAAGTGGGGTGAGACTTTCACTGATCATATGTTGACTATTGACTATGATGCTGATAATGGTTGGCATGATGTAAGGGCTACTTCTAATAGGGACAATGGAGTTTCACCACCCTAGTGATATGAAAAACACTAGTGGAAAACATATTTCGCGACTTCTGCATATCACCGCGAATATCGCGCCTTTCACAGAGTATTACGCCGCTTCACGATGTATTCGGTTAACTTTGAGTTTATATTCGGTCAACGAAGAGCTTGTTATATTTTTCATAGAGTAAATTTATGACGTGAAATGTATCTTTTCTCCAGTGATTTTATATCATGAGAGTGAATCCAGATATTTGATATATTGGAGTTTCACGGCCCGTTTTACGTGAAGTGCCGTAATACTCGGTGAAAAACGCGATATTCGCGATATGCAGTGGTTTGTGAGATATGTTTTTTTAGTAGTGTTTTTCATATCATCGGTGAAACTTATTTTCCATGTATGGTATTTAGCAGAAGAGTAGTAATAAAAAAATTTTTCGAATGGTTTTGATGATATTTTGTATTTTAAACCCGAGGGCTTATAAGGCGATAAACTTCCAGTCGTGTATCAATAACATCAGGGAACTCCAATGATTCTTGAACAACATTCATAATGGAGTTTCACAACCCGTTTTACGTCAAGTGCTGTAAAACTCCGTGAAAAACGCGATACTCGCGGTGTCGTTTTTCACTAGTGTTTTTTATATCACCAGGGTGGTGAAACTCCAATATATTCACCGAGTAGTTGAAATGGACTGCTCCTTCCTACTGGTGTCGTACCACTGTGTCTGTTGTCAGCCTGTCATCGCTCCTTTTGGTGAGCTCTCGATTCATCCAGCGTCAACAGTCCTACACTATGCAGTGGAGTGTTTCGAAGGGGCTAAGGTGTAGGAAGGGTGTCAACTTTTTCGGTTTCACAACCCGTTTTACGTGAAGTGGCGTCGTAAAACTCGGTGAAAAGCGCGATATTCGCGGTGATATGCAGTAGTCGTGAAATATGTTTTTCATATCACTAGGGTGGTGAAACTTCAATGCGTATTTTTCAAGTGTGGGGCGTTGAAATAATTCTTCTATGGAATGTTGATCAGGTTTAAAAACAAGGAAGGTGTAATCACAGAGTTTCGTCTGCGAGATAATATTCGGCGATTTGCCAGGTCTATTGAGCGGAGCGGTGTTGCAGCTTTTGATAAAACGGATGAGGAAGCTCTGTAGTAGAGGGAAGTAGCGTGTGCTTTGACGTGGAGGAGTTAATGGTAGATATGCGCTGATAAGAGAATTGGTTCTGATCGATGAGAATCTGATCCCGGACGAGTATGGATATTCCTTGTATATTCGTCCAACGTTCATAGGAACTGAGGTAGGCGTGGGTTCAAATCCTGGTCGCGGTATTTTTCCCGTATTTAGCCCAGTTTGGAAGTCGCTGCGGGATCTCGCGGGAAACTCTACGTTATTTGCAGTCCAGTTGGACCGTAAGTGGGCGTATCTTTGGAATCTTCGCTGTGCGCACATCGATGATTAGGATGGATCTTCCTTGGCTAGGTTCTTCCCTTGCGGGTTCAAGCCAGTGTCTTTACTAGCATGCACTCGTAACGTTCGGGCGTGGCCTGGAGGTAATAACGAGGGAATAGTTGGTGACACGTTGGAGTGTCGCGTGGTGTCACTTTTGGGTGGGGCGACATACGACAATACCGCGCAAACAAACGGATAGTCCTTATATTCGATCGTGTGGTTTGGAATACTTGGGGATTGGTATGGGAAATCGTCACTCGCTGCTAGTTGAAAACGCCGGTGCCGGGAATCGAACCGGGGATTACCCGATGAAATGTAGAATTCTTCGATCAGTTGATGGGCTGTGTTCGATGGTTCGCTTCGGTTGTACTAGAAAGGTATCGAATAGGCGATTTTTGAACAGAATAGATTTTTTGGCTGTGAAATAGGGAGTATATTTTCTCACGATGTCGAATGAACGCTCAGCGGTGTTTTCACACCATTGGTGAAAATTTTATGTAACTTCATATATATGTAGCTCTAATGAGGTTGTCTCCCCCGAATTGTAATTCTGTTGGCTTATTTTCAGGTTCTGGGGGTTTCAAACTGGGGAGTAATTATGCTCCGACTCTGATGCCCGCTAAAACGGCGGTAAGATTTTGGGAATATTTTACTCGGTTTTGTTGGATGTGTTTGTTGAGTTTATGGACTGTTTTCAGAGCAAAGAAGGATATACACAAATATTATGGCTCCTGCCGTTGCGGGATGGGGAGGGTCAGTTGAAGCACCACATCACAGAAGTTGGTAATGCTCGGGTGGTTAGTGAGTTCGTCTTTCATCCAGGAGGTATCTGGTTCGTTTCCCGGCAGGTTCTATGAATGTATTCTTTGTGTTTGAAGATGATAGAGGTGTTGAGATCGCTACTCCGCCGACTAAGGATATAGTCCTACCGGGTATCACTCGAGATTCGGTAAGAAGTTCGTGTTGAATGTTATCCTGACTTGCGCATTTTTTAGGTTTTGAAGATTCTGGGGGCCGATGGAAATCTGCGAGTTTCGGAGAGAGATGTTACTATGGAGGAGCTTCTCGAGCGATATCGCCGTCGAGAGGTATTGGAAATTTTCGGTAATAATCTGGAAAATTTCGTAAAAGTGCAGGATAGTGGATTCTGGAGAGGAGTGGTATGATTAATGCCCGCATGCACAACTGAATTAGGTACCGGCACTGGTGCGATTGTATGCCCTGTTAAAAGTGTAACGTATGAGGACGTTGAAATTGATGTGAGTCATTGCTGGTTGAATAATCGATCAAGCGATCGATTTGGTAGGTACCTGTAGATGAAGCAATCGGGGCAGGCCCGATATGCAGAAAGATACTCGATGAGGTAGCAATGGATTGAATGCACATTAACGGCATGTTCAGTAAACCTCTCCTGACCTTCATGAGCACTCCCCGGATGGGATTTCACATTTGAGATTCGGTCCTAGGAGCACTCCTGAAACTGAGGAAAGGTGTATTGGACACTCCGTGAGCTTACTAGGAGAGGGAAAATTCGCTTGCCAGTGGCGAGTGGCCACGAAACTGTCAGAAACATATGTAGAGACTTGGAAGTTGTTATTAGAAGATACGAGAGAGGTAGATTTGATGTCCGTTTGTTATCAGATTCAGGATGCTCAGCATGGGAAGGGTCCGTTCGCAAGTCTCTGGACCAACGAATGGAATGAATCGATGAGGATTTATCACTAAATACCTGCCTATAATCTTCCCAGCGGCATCAGCTGTTTCTATCAGGATGATATATGTGATTTGCGTTACTATATGCATATCACATTCCATACTACTACTGTAGTTGTATTGTCATTACTATCGGGCCCTGTGTTCCGACGACACCAAGCTGAGCTCTTTGTATGATTATGATGAGTGCCTTCTAGAGAGCTGATAAGGAGTGCTTACTGGGTCGGCGGCTTATTCGTCGTTGACCAGTTACCGAACATACCTGTATGAATTCACTTCCCATTGATGACGTTGATCCTGTATGAAGATAGCCCCGAAAATATTAAGTGAGTTTTTGGTAGGTTCGGAGTTGGTGAGAGCTGGCGACGCGAGAGTAAAGCCCAGGTTGGTAGTCTGAGGATTTCATTGGGCGTGGTACTGAATGAAGTCGACTGAATCTATGGAGTTTCGGAGAAATTGTAGTAAGTTGATGTTGGTGCCCAGCATACCTGCCTGGGGAAATTTATACGGCGGGATGAGAACTTCAAAAATGTAATTTGTCTGGAAGGGACTTATACTGTCTCTATAAATACAGTTATGTTGACATTGGGAGCAAATGATAATGCTATGCGATGCTTTGACCATTGCTTGCGTAGTATCTCACAGAACTCTTCGTCATTGTGAAGACGTCATGTAGAGTTGAGGAGATTTGACAGCTCAAGAGGGGAGTAGCTATCTACTCGTCACACAAGGTTCATCGGACACACCAGTCATGTTTCACAAGGGACCACTCCTACTGTTCCCGCTGTCGCCACCATCCCGGACCATTTTAATTTGGAATTTCGAGGACAGTAGGCGTATCAAGGTTATGTGCTATCTTGACTTGCTTTTCAATGTATAACGGCAAACGCACCGATTTTGGGAAGCACTGTCAAGGTTTCACACTTCTCGACGGCACGGTGATCGGCTTTTACGCCAACTGAGCTTTCGTTAATGTTCAAGTTGGCGCTTGCTGCTAGGATTCGTAATTTGAGGCACTACGGGTGCAAGGATCTAGCAGCTGCCGCTACCGTCAATACCGCTCACGGCAGTCGTTTCTGGTCGGCGGGGAGGGTTAGTCGAACTGGCCATGAAGTTCATGGCATGAACTAACTTGCTCCGTTAGGCTCACCTCTCGCTGGCCACAGCGAGTCTATTTTACACATCAAATTCAAGAGCGGGGATGAGTGTAAAGTTGAGTTGAGTTCACTGAACTCCTCTAGCTACTAGTCCGCTTGTCTACTAGTCTTCCTACTAGTCCCCTGGCTACTAGTCATCTGGCTACTAGTCCGCAAGACTTCTACGCCCGTCAGGCCTTGCATTGATCTCAAATGGTTGAATGCGCACACTCGAGTATCGACTCAACAAGTTGCGCTCGGGTTCTGGAGCCTGTCATCAGGACAGTGTCTTTGACACCTCCGTCGCTGGCGAACTTTCTGCGCACATTTTGAGGCCATCATTCTCGTTGATTTGGAAAGGTGGCTGTTCAAATACATAATATAACTGCTTCAATTAAACATTCTCACATCAAAGATGCATTTAAGAATCTTGTCCGTTTATTGTTGGTGTAGCTTGTGTTACCTTCCGACTCTGAAGCGTCAGTTTCAGAAGCCGTGTCACTCCCGGAAGTTATTTTCCTTAACGGAGCGAAGCGAGTTTTCATTTCTTCTTTTTTACCCGTGATTTCTAGCAATGAGAACACTATCCATGTCTACGGCGTCCTCCGACATTGAGCGTTCTCAAGATAGGGAGCTCCCTCTGATGAAATTGTACTCATCCAAGAAGACGCCGTTGGCTTTCATGGCACCGTGGTTGACGGTTGATGGAAAACCTGAAATGGTGAGGAAAAATCGACTATTTTGGGGGAGGTCTCGAAATGGTTATTTTTTGTCGTTTTAGGCTCATTTCGGATATTTTTTGAAGGTTTTGAAACCCTGGAGAATCTTCATCTCATTCTTTCGGAAAAATCTTCCGTGAAAGTGGAGAAAAATTTGTCGATAATTTCCAACGATTTTAGATCTCTCACAGGTATTTTCTCTCTATTTTCTTGATGTTTTGAATATGGTTCAGAAGTTATGAATCAGAACATATATTTTTCAGACTTTCCCTCCGCCAGAAGAGCCCCACAGCAGCCTCTCCGTCGATTCAGTTCGAAGACTGTCGATTTTATCCAGTCTGAATATGCCCAATCAGAAGGGGACCGAGTTGGACGTGAGCGGGGTGCCGGGGTTGAACCGGGGATCTCTCGACCATTCGTTTTCTTCGCTGTGCGCAGGTATCTTTCAGGATATTTCTCAGATTGATACCATTCCTGATCTAGGAGCAGAAGGTCCGAAAGCTGCCCCTCCACGAAGGGTTGGATTCCTGCGTAGAATCTTGGACATGATTTTGTGGCGCAGTGACAAAAAACCACCGAAGAGAAAACATGAGGAAGTTGAGGAGGTCAAGAGATTCGCAGGTTCGACCTTAGTCGACGTCATCTTCCCCGAATTAAATTCGGGGAATTCTAGAATACTAGAAGAAAAATGCGGCGAATTTTTCTTCTAGTATTCTTCTTCCTCTCGTTTAAAAATCTTGGGCGATTCCTTCCGAATTTTTTCCTTTGAAGTTTTTATTTTTTGGAATCACATGAGAAAATTTTCCCCTGAATTTTTACTCTTTTAATGCAAGGTACTCCAGCACCGAAGAAAAGAAGAGTCTCGAGTGAGACTCCGACGACTGCAGCCACAGTACCAGCATCAGGCTGGAGAGAAGAGTCCGCGACTAGCGTGGAGGAAATGCAAGATTTGCAAGATGAGCAAGATTTGGAGAATAGAGAGGCTTTTGTGGAGGTAGAGGAGAAGATAGTTGTTGCTGAGGAGGGAGATGAGGGCGTTGAGGAAATGCAAGATGAGCAAGATTTGGAGACAAGTTCTGCGGAGGATTTGGATAAGTCTTCAGAGAGGAGTGGGGGGGATCGGAAGCGACAAGAAGAACAGGGTGTTGGGGAATGTTCGGCGAGTGACGAACTTGAAGATGAGAATGGTGCTTGCCAGTGATTCATCGGTCGGTTTGGAAGGGCCGGCAGTTATTTATATAACGTTCGAGCATTACTTGCATAAGCTGTAGTTGATTCATTAAAAGTTCATCGATGAGGATATTATCAGCTGTTTCGTGTGCTAATGGTATGGGTTCGCGTTTTCAGTTGGGATGGTTGTGGGTTCCATTCCATGCGTGGGCATTTTTTGAAATGGCTGGAGTTGATCCGAAGAATTAAGTCGATCAATAAGGATAAGAGTAGAGCAATTTCAGTGTGTACATATATTCGTGGCAATATGGAAATTCTCGAAGGAAATCTTGGGAATTTCTCATTGGTTTCTGCACAGTTCTCTCTAAATCGTGCGTTAAGTTTCGTAATATGGCAAGGTAACTGTTGAGCTCAGCTGAGGAATGCAAACATATTTCCCAAAACTGAGAGCTTTATGCTATCAAGCTGGGGCGATTTCGAAGACTGTCGTTTGTGTTCGCGGCTGAGCCTCTTATGAATGGGGACAGATACATTGTGTGCTGAACTATGGGTGAATTCAGGGGCGTATTTTATATCTAAAAACTATTCATTTTGTTTCAACCGTTTTCCAATGGGTAATTTATCCCGATAGAAAACCCCGCCCGATTTGGTCAATTTTCCGAATGGAAGTCGACCATGCAAAATACATCAACTACAGCGTATCTGCCTCAGGAACGTGAAGAAGTTTTGGCGAGGTATTTATCACTACGTTGGTCCGGTGTGGGAAAATATGCACATGATCAACCACAAATGTGGATATTGTGGGAAAATTATTGGTTGCGGTACATGTCTACCGCAATCACTATGTGAACTTGTAAAATTAGTGAGGAAACTCCTGAGCTCAGCAGCTGAGGAAAGCGATTACATATATTCCTACTCCAACACTGTATAGGAAACTCCTGAGCTCAGTAGCTGAGGAAAGCGATTACATATATTCATACTCCAACACTGTATAGGAAACTCCCGAGCTCAGCAGCTGAGGAAAGCGATTACATATATTCCTACTCCAACACTGTATAGGAAACTCCTGAGCTCAGCAGCTGAGGAAAGCGATTACATATATTCATACTCCAACACTGCGTCGGGGATGCCTATGTCAGTTGTGAAGAAGCAATTTATCTACACAACTATTGATTTCGAATCTGTTTTTCATCACCATGAAATAGAATTTCAGCACTCAAGTTGAATGTCCCACTGTTTCCTCAATTCCAAGAAGAAGTTCGTCTCGGACGCCTTGGGCGGTTTGGTGACGACTTCTGCTGGTTCCATTGCTCGCCTAGTTACGACGGATGAAGATACGCAGGTAGGTTCACTCACAAAGATACGAAATAGGTCCATTTGGAGCCCCTCAGGTTATCGTGCGTGCAGACTGGTCCAAGGAGCGAGTTGCTGTTATCTCTGGTGGCGGTAGCGGCCACGAGCCGACCCATCCAGGGTTCGTCGGCAGGGGCATGCTCACTGCAGCAGTATGCGGGTCCGTCTTCGCTTCCCCCAGTGTCTCTGCTATTCTATCAACAATAGTTCACGTCACCGGCCCAGCCGGTTGCCTCCTAGTCGTCAAGAACTACACCGGTGATCGCCTCAATTTCGGCTTAGCTCGAGAGGTGGCGAAATCAAAGTTCAACTTGAAGGTCGAGATGGTCATCGTTTCCGACGATATTGCTATTCCCGGTTCTGCCCAGCCCCGCGGTATCGCCGGCACTCTGTTGGTTCACAAGATAGCCGGCGCCAAGGCCGACACCGGCGCCAATCTTGAGGACGTTCTGAAGGTCGCCCATGCTGCAGCTGAGGGAGTTATGTCCATCGGTGTCGCATTGACTGATTGCCATATGCCTGGTGAGGACACTCGAGTGAGCCGAGTGGCCCCGGGTACGATGGAGGTCGGGCTGGGTATACATGGGGAGCCGGGAGCGGCCACAGTGCCGATACAGACTGCTGATGATACTGTTGAGGCTTTAGTCGGTAAACTGCGAGAAGCTGCGAAAAAAAGAGGGCGAGAGCTTGGGCGAACAGCGCTATTGGTGAACAATCTCGGCACGTGCATGCCGTCTGAAATGGAGATCATCGCTAACCATGCAGTCTCCAGTGTGAAGCCAAGCCTTGTAGTCGGTCCGGCCGCTCTGATGACATCTCTGGACATGCACGGCTTTTCTCTTACTATACTACCCCTCACAGATGAGCTCGAGCAACTCCTGAGAGCTCCTACTGCTGTATCGTCTTGGCCGACGGCGAAGGTTCCATCCCCGGCACTGTCGATTTTCGCTCCAGAAATCGCCACTGAATCAGCTAAGTTCGTCCCCAGTTTGAACCCTCTTTATCGTTCACGACTAGAGGCAGCTTGCCACGCTGTGATCTCTTCTGAGAACGAACTGAACAATCTCGACTCAGCTGTGGGTGACGGCGACTGCGGCTCGACTCTGGCGGCCGGCGCTAGGGCTGTTCTCAGCAGCTCAGATGAAGCTCCTTATGGTGACGGTAAAGACCTGGCTTTGTGGCTAGCGGAAGCCTCTGACCGCATCGGTGGGTCCTCGGGCGTTCTTGCGGCTATATTCTTCACCGGTGTGGCGAAGACCGGCGACTGGTCGGCTGCTGCTATCAAGGCCGGCGTTGATTCAATGACCTTCTATGGAGGTGCTTCTGTTGGTTCTCGAACGGCCATGGACGCTCTCATTCCCTTTGCTGATGCCCTTCTATCGGGGAAGTCAATCGAAGAAGCCGCGGAGAGGGCTCGTGAGGGAGCTGAGAGTACGGCTAAGATGGCCTCTGCTAGTCATGGTCGGTCGGCTAATGTACCGACAGAGGCGCTTATGGGTCGAGTCGATCCTGGTGCTGTTGCTGTCGCTAGAGTTGTCAAGGCAATTGCTGATGTTGATGAATGAAGGAAGAGAATATTGCTGTTGATGGTGTATGAGTTCGATTCATTCTTATCGAGGATTTCTATACTCATCCGATTGCGTTCAAGTCTGATGATGGAAAGGAGATCAGATAACAACTCGTTGTTCGAACATCGGTGGCTCGACATGCACGAGGGAATCGCTTTAGTGTGTTGAACTGAACCCTATTCATTTGAACTAGGGATGTTGCCAAGAAACGAGATTACTGTCAATAAGCTTCACCGTAGAGCAAATGACTTCGAATAAAAACGGTAAAAAGCATTCGCACATTTCTACCGGTCTCTATCTACTTATCAAGAAGTAATATTGTTCTTCCTATTATCCTGTACAGGGAGTGACTTGAGCGCTATTGGGAACGAAACCCACAAGAAAGGATCAGTCGAATTGAAGTGTTTCCTTCTCTCGGTGTTCACTGACGGAAACTCGACAGCACAAGGAAATGACAGTTGGAATGATGAATGTTATCAAGTGTATATTCAAAATCGACGATGCCCTATTGATGATGATGATGGTGACGACTATATGTTCCTATCGCGGCTACCTTGGTAGAAACGCCTTTGATTTTGCTTGTCGCCGTTGTGCTCTTGTCGTGGGGGCTCAAGTAAGGGAGAAGACAGTGAATAGCGACTTGATACCGGAGTACTCGACTGAGACACGATCGCAATCATAATAATAAATGATCATTCAGCGATGAGGGAATACAAGTGCATAACAGCTTACCCGATGGGACGTATTAGGACTGCGCCTCCCAGCCGGCCAGAACACGAAAAGTATCAATATGGACGGTATCAATTCAGTGAGTAGGAAAACCTAAAAATGTTTGAGCGGAGCGAAGCAGAGTATTGTGCTCGGCCCACCATAGAATCCCAGGCCTGTCGGTCGATACTTGGAGGGCATACTGTCTTGATCAAACCGACACCATACAAAACGCCACTCATTCCTCGCACTAGGAATATTAGCGGGCAAGTTAACGTCAACACGAGCACCTATACAAGGTTGATGCGAAGAGCGAAAGATTGAGCCGATCTCACCCGGTTGATGACGGACTTGTTGCGCTGTTGGCCCAACTGGCGAGCGCTCCCTGACACTTGCCTTCGAGATCTGTCACGAAGCTGACCGGACACTTGCAACTATAGTGAAGGGACGATGGTGTCCGAAGTGGAGGGGTCGGCAAGCTCACCCCGTAGTAGAAGAATAGTACTGCACAAGTGATATAAAGGAGTCCAACGACGAAGTAAATATATCTGCCAGTTGTTTTAGATTGTGCATTCATCTGTGAAGGTGTTACTGATTGTATTCTTCCCAAGCTTGCAAAAGAAATGTGACAATAGAAATAATAAGGAAAACGCCGTATCTGGAAACGCAGTGGGCTGATGAGCCATAGCTTCTCATAAAGATGTTCTCACACAGCAATGTTTATGAATATACAAACTGGTCGTAGCAAGGGATGCGAAACCAACACCGCAGCATAGTACACCTGATCAGCTGGACTGAGGGTCTTCTATTGGAACTAACGCCCAATCTTACCTGTGCCCAGAATAAAATGACTATACTGTAGGTAGAGAGGAAGAGCAATGAAGGGAATGTCATAAAAACGTCGTTGGTCCAGGCCTGAGGGGATAATGGTGGAGATTGGCTGAATGCGATGATCCCTACCTGGACAGGATGATTCAGATTGTGCATGCGAACTTCGAGGTGAATGACGGCATCAAAAATGAGGGAGAGCGCTCTGGCAGCATTGGAGATGCACAATGTCAATAGGAAAAGAAATCTTGTTCGACCACCAGTTAGAGATATCGGCGGTATCTGATGAAAATACCCCATGCAAGATTTGAACCCACGACCATATGATTCATGAACAAATGTGCTAACCAACTAACCTAAATACTCACTGCATCAGCCCTCTTCTCTTCTCTCCTCTGCCTTATCAATTGCCGCATCAAGAACACCGCTACGACCATGAACAATCCACAATCGATGTAGGCTAGCACAGCAGCGTACGCAGAGTGGTGGGCAAAAACATCATTAATAGTAGAGAGAACCTCATCCGCCTCCCTAGCCGTGGCCAACGTTATAGATGTAGACATTTCGACAATGGCAGAAATTCTGCAATGTTTGCAAGTTCAGATGAGTTTCAATAAATAGGAGTTTCATTGACATTATGAAAAACACTAGTGAAAAATATATTTCACGACTACTGCATATCACCGCGAATATCGCGTTTTTCACCGACTTTTACGACGCCACTTCACGTAAAACGAGTCGTGAAACTACAATGATAATACCAACGTTATGGCCACATATTACATGTCGTATCGAATTCATGTGATTCCAACAGGAACAATGTGGGAGAATATGCACATGACCAACTACATGTGTTGATGATAATATGAAAATTCTGGGGGAAAATTTCGGGAAATTTTTTGTTGCTTTCTCTATACTACTACCCGAATTTTCATAATTAGTTCTGGAAACTCTCGAGCTCAAATAAGGAAAGCGATTACATATATTCATACTCCAACACTGTATAGGAAACTCCTGAGCTCAGCAGCTGAGGAAAGCGATTACATATATTCATACTCCAACACTGTATAGGAAACTCCTAAGCTCAGCAGCTGAGGAAAGCGGTTACATATATTCATACTCCAACACTGTATAGGAAACTCCTAAGCTCAGCAGCTGAGGAAAGCGATTACATATATTCATACTCCAACACCGCACTTGAACACCAACCTCTCTAAAGAGTGAAAACATCTTCGGTGGTTTCGCAATAATATAACAACGATGAACTACAATACTATAACATTGGAACCAGCAGCAAATTTACAAAAAAATTGACAACCTCACGAGGCAGGGATGATGATGATGACCCTGGTTCGAACCCCGGCTCGGGCATTTATTCTAGTAATTATCCAATATCCAATTGGTAGCATCTTCAAGTGTTGGATGCTCTTTTATGGCCTCGGCAATTTGGTTTTCGGGAAAGCCGATCGCAACAAGTTCAGCTGACAAAAGAAAAACGACGTCGCCGAGGATCGAACCATGGTCACCCGCATGGCAGTCTACCCACCTTTCGTATTCGCCCGTTCCTCCTCTTCCTTCGTCTTCATATTCACACCTTCCTCCCCCCTAGGCTCCGGGAATAGGTAATCCAACACCTCCTCATTTCCACATGCTGTTGGTGCATCCTGACCGGCCATCTCCCCCAACTCCGCATCCAGGCTCGCCACCTGCATGCACCGTCACGCGCCACCAAATTCCGAAGCTGCCCCTTATACTACAGCATTCGGCCCCTGCTGAACAGCGTCATTCCCCACCACTACCGGGGGTGGCGGAGGCGGCGGCGGAGGCAACGGCGGGCTCCGCGTAGGCGGGTGCGTAGGCTCACGCTCTCTAGCCACAGCAGCCAGTTCGCTATCGACACCCTCTGATACCTGTTAGAAAAAAACTCATACCAAAACTTCACCAAATCATCAGTACATTCGTATGAGACCTACGACCTGTCGAAGCGGTCCTAGGCGGCTCCCCTGTGAGTAAATCAGTTGGACCACTGCTCGGCTCGGCAAACGGATTGGTGCTTCCATACGTCATCTCAACAGGTGGAGGAGGAGGTGGAGGAGGAGGAGGGGGAGAACTACGAGGGAGCCCAACAGGGTGGCCTTGTCGAGATGCTGCTGCCGCCGCTGCACCAGTAGAATCCTGATGTAAAAATGCAACATGCAGGGATCGAACCTGTGCTTACTACCCCAGAATGATATCTGTTTCCACCACCGTCACCACCTTTCCTCCTTCGCCGTCGGTCATGATTAGAAACGGCCGGCCAGGGTGCTCCGAAGTTATCAGGAGTGGGCCAGTCGATGGCACTGTTCATCGCTAGGGGCGCAGACGGTTGCGGGTACGCGCTACTCTTCTTCTGATAGTCCGAATTACCACGCGCCAGGGATTGCCTGCGACCACTCATGCGTAATCCAAAGATCCCCGGTTCCAATCCCCCCTACAGTTTTTTCTGCAGCGCGTCATTCTGACCCATCAGGGCCGCTGCCGACGGCGTCGGACTGCCACCATATTGCATTCCCCCTCCATGAGGAGGAGGAGGAGGGGCCATCGGATTGAACACATTCCCGGGTGGTGGTGGTGGCCCCCCATACCCCTGGGCGAAACTCTGGCCATGCCTGTGCCCCGGGTACGGCCCTGGTGCAGGCATCATACGTTGGTTCATGTAGTTGGGTGGGTAGCCCTGCATTAGCCCTTGGGGTAGGGGAGTGGGAGGAGCCGGGCCCCCTTGCATGACCATTGGCGAATTGCCATATCCAGCAAACCTGGAAAAATGCCCCTACCCGGGATCGAACCAGGGACCTTTGAACATTACACATTATTCCGCATGTCAGGGTTGGGTGCTCCCCCAGCAGCGTACATAGCCCCGCCCATCGCAGCCTGTTGCTGTTGGGCTATACTCTGGCTCTTCCGTTTTAGTTCCCTCAGCGCCTTCGCAACCTCCACGAAAACAGGCCGCCGACTTTCTCTGGAATCAATCTGAAAATGCCCCTCCTGGGATTCGAACCTGCGCGGCTCCCCCCTCCCTACACATCGCAAGGCCAGATCTGCCAACTCAGAAGCTATGCCTGGATTCCAACCGCAACTCCATTGTATCTACTGACACTTTCCCATACCATAATTTCGCCGATTCCTATCACCATATTCCACAACTTCTCCTTATTAATTCCCTTATACATCTCCGTGATCGCCTTAGTCCGCGGGTCCTGCAGTGCCGGGGGCTTCGTCGTGAGCAGTTCCAACAGAACCATACCGAAGGAGTATCTACTGTCACCAGTACCCACTTTCTCACCCCGACAAGCTCCTACACCTCTGATTTTTCAGTTACCACCGACGTTGAAATATACAAAGGATCTGCATAACCTGAAGTGGGCCTATTCCGTATCTTACACGCTTGAACCTAAGATACTCACCGATGGTTCCAGAGCACATATCAACTTTCTGGCCGTCGTCCCCCTTCGCCGTCGCCAATAATGCCAGGCCGAAGTCCGCTACTTTGGCGTTGCCACTTTTATCGAGTATTATATTTTGAGACTAAAACATGACAGTGTTGTTGGAGTATGAATATATGTAATCGCTTTCCTCAGCTACTGAGCTCAGGAGTTTCCTATACAGTGTTGGAGTATGAATATATGTAATCGCTTTCCTCAGCTGCTGAGCTCAGAAGAGTTTCCTATACAGTGTTGGAGTATGAATATATGTAATCGCTTTCCTCAGCTGCTGAGCTCAGAAGAGTTTCCTATACAGTGTTGGAGTATGAATATATGTAATCGCTTTCCTCAGCTGCTGAGCTCAGAAGAGTTTCCTATACAGTGTTGGAGTATGAAAATATGTAATCGCTTTCCTCAGCTACTGAGCTCAAAAGAGTTTCCTATACAGTGTTGGAGTATGAATATATGTAATCGCTTTCCTCAGCTGCTGAGCTCAGGAGTTTCCTATACAGTGTTGGAGTATGAATATATGTAATCGCTTTCCTCGGCTGCTGAGCTCAGGAGTTTCCTATACAGTGTTGGAGTATGAAGATATGTAATCGCTTTCCTCAGCTGCTGAGCTCAGGAGTTTCCGATACAGTGTTGGAGTATGAATATATGTAATCGCTTTCCTCAGCTGCTGAGCTCAGAAGAGTTTCCTATACAGTGTTGGAGTATGAATATATGTAATCGCTTTCCTCGGCTGCTGAGCTCAGGAGTTTCCTATACAGTGTTGGAGTATGAATATATGTAATCGCTTTCCTCAGCTGCTGAGCTCAGGAGTTTCCTATACAGTGTTGGAGTATGAATATATGTAATCGCTTTCCTCAACTGCTGAGCTCAGAAGAGTTTCCTATACAGTGTTGGAGTCTAATCCGCGAATTCACGCAAGTGTACAAAAACCAACGAGAATCTCTCAAAATTTCTCCCAAATTTTCGTATTGTCACCAACACATGTAGTTGACCATTTGCATATTTTCCCACACAAAAAACCCAACGGAAAAAATCGTCGGAATTTTTTCCAATATACCCCATACCACACCTCGCGCGAATTATCACCTTTATATCTCTATGAAAGACCTTAGGAGTAGAATTGTGCAAGTGGCTGAGGCCAAGGCAAGCATCGAGGGCCACCGACACACGGAGAGTCCACGGGAACGTTTTAGCGCTGTTGGGAGCCGACAGCCGCGAACCTAGCAACGACCCCGGTTCGATCCCCGATGAGGACATTTTTATTACATAAATCACCACCCTCCAGGAGTTCATAAATTAGCAACCGTTCGTTACCGTTTCTGGCAAACCCCATGAGGATGACCAAATTAGGATGCCGAAATTTCGACAGAACTTCAACTTCTTCCCGAAAACCCGACTCCTTAGGTGCTCTCAGAACCTATATCAAAATCAGTACCCTCGAAATTGGAGTAGTGATAGCAGGTAGCTACTTTGATAGCGACTTCTGTTTGATCCTTCAGTTGGCATTTATATACACTCCCATAGGACCCCTGCCCCAGCCGGTACCTATCACACAATAAAGTGATATAATTGTGGTATAATTTCACGCTTGTGTGGTATGGCAATTACAGTAAAAATATACAAAACGACAATATGAGTGTAAACTCTTACCCTACTTGTTCGAGACTATGTATATATATACATATTATTATTACTATAATATATAAGTATTATAGTATTAATATTTCAATGGAGTTTCACCACCCTAGTGATATGACAAACACTAGTGGAAAACATATTTCATATCACCGCGAATCTCGCGTTTTTCGCCACTTCACGTAAAACGGGTAGTTGTGAAACTCCAACATTATAAAAAATACTAATTATATAACATCATTACATGTATTAGCTACACTTCGAAAAGATATAACTCACCGATGGCCGAATGCAGACCAAGCCCTAGTGATTTCACAAAGGGATGCTATTTTTCCCACACATACTCGTTTCGAAATTTGCGTATTATTCCCATACACAATGAATTTCCCTTCACCATAAGCAATTAAGCGCCTCCCCTGACGGTTATACACGTGTAAAAAATCCCGTCTAGGGAAACGAACATCGCGATGGGGAAACTACGCACCTTGCATTTCGACGTCCTAACTTCAAATTTTCGAAGGCAAAAAACATTATCGAGAAAACAAAGTGAAATAATTTTTTTAAAATTTTCCAATACGCATTGAAGTTTCACCACCCTAGTGATATGAAAAATATATTTCACGACAACTGCATATCACCGCGAATATCGCGTTTTTCACCGAGTTTTACGACGCCACTTCTCGTAAAACGGCTAGTTGTGAAACTCCAGTGCTTCCATATATTATGATTTTTATACTATTAAATTTGAAAAATAAATACGATTTATTATAACAATGTAAATATGCCCTTCCTTATATGGTTATTCGTATTAATATTATATTATATTACAGCCCTCCAGAAGTATGATAAAAACTCGGCGAAAAATGTTGAGGATTATACTTAACGTAAACCAGTCACATGTATCAGCAAAGACGCATACAATACCAAGTTGAAATCGATCATTCGAGATTCGAGACCAGAAACTTTTTCTATTTTTTCCTATAGTACCTTGATGAGAAATTATCAGTAGATGCGGCCAGCTCCGCATAGGGGTACTCGAGAGCAATTCTATTGAGATTGAGATCAGTCGGCATCATCATCATCATGCCACCGCCATTTTGTCGGGAATATGCACGGCTTCGTCCGCTAGCCCCGCCGCCTTGTGCCATGTTGTTGGAGGAGGAGGAGGAGGTGTGGTATTAGTGATGATAGTAGTAGTAAAGTTAATCGTACAAGAAGGAGAAGAAGCGCCTTGGTCGGAGGGTGTTGGGGTGTATGGGGAAAAGAGAGAGAGACGAAGAAGGAACGACTAAGGCAATTCTAAACAAGACAGGTATATTCAAAGTAAACTCAACAACAACAGCAATAACAACAGCAATACAACAACAGCAACAACAACAACAACAACAACAGCAACATATACAACAACAACATATACAACAGCAACAGCAACATATACAACAACAACATATACAACAACAGCAACATATACAACAACATATACAATAACAACAACAACAACATATACAACAACAACAACATATACAACAACAACAACAACAACATATACAACAACAGCAACAACAACATATACAACAGCAACAGCAACAACAACAACCCAATCTAACAAGTAAGCTATGAGGAAATAAATCGTGTTTTTGTAATCCTCTATTATATTGGTATTATAGATAACGATGTTAGGATCTTACCCCCGTACACATCCTACTATATTAATAGAGTTTCACGGCCACCCTAGTGATATGAAAAAAACACTAGTGAAAAACATATTTCACGACTACTGCATATCACCGCGAATATCGCGTTTTTCACAGAGTGTATATATGTTATATGGGATTGGCTATTATCAATATATGTAATATTATATATTCAATCGTCGGCATCTCAAAAACCTGGAGTCCCCTTCCCAAAAGAGGGGCGATTGCAATCCTCATATCTTTAGTCGTCGCCTGCCCGACTATACTAACATAATCGATTGAGCACTTCCTATGGTTAGTGTAGGAGGAAGATATACTTGCTCACCTCAACAACTGGGCTTGTAAGCTTCCTCAGGAATCCTCATTATATTATGAAAATCCACACGATTCTGAATAGAAGTAATTTCCCTAATGATTTCCATATTTCTCGCAACACATGTAGTTAACCAAACTGCCTATGGTTGTATTGATCTGGACAACTCTCCTAACACGGCTAACGCGTCTGTAATGAGCATACCGCACCTCGCCGAGTGAGATGATGGAGGAAGCACACGAAGTTGATTGATAAAGAAATTAAATGATGTTTTAATCGAGGAAGTGGTGACACTACAGTGTGACACTAAAGTCGAGCGAAATATACCAACAAAATCATTCTGCTATTTTTAACAGTTTAGTTTCCTCAAAAGTGAACTGGGTATTAATACGTATAAAATATCCACCCGAGAATCGAACCCACAACCCTTTCCTGGAAAGACCTAAGCCTTATCCACTACACTACACTGCCACACTGATTCGTGACGCCGTTGAGGAAATGCAAGATTGACTAAGAAAGCAAGATATGCGCGCGACCCGATCCGGTCGTTGTAGATCTTCACCTCGACGAGTTTTCCATTATACCAATTTTCTGAAATAGTATTGCGGGAAAATAGTTTTTCTCAATTTAGTATTGCTGATAACACAGGGAGTTGACCATGTGCACTCTAATCGCGAGGTTGAGGTTTTCAGTACAACTGGAGAGTCTTTAGTTTTTTTCTAAGCAGCAATTGATGATGGCTTTATTTTTCCCCAGCTCATTCAGCATTCAGTGAGGAATATCATCTACCAAAAACGAGGGTGGACGAGTTACTCTTCGAATCAATGCTATACTCAAAACCTTTCGAGGCTGAGATCTCACTAAAGAGATCGTTATAGTTCCACGAATAGTCGTTAGCTGCTCGTCTGTGATATAGACATTAATATGTTATATATATTATTAATTAGTAATATGTATATATTATATGATTTTTATGAGTAACTGTATATTTTTATAGGTTTAATGTCATGCTAATCAATGGAGTTTCACCACCCTAGTGATATGAAAAATATATTTCACGACTACTGCATATCACCGCGAATATCGCGTTTTTCACAGAGTATTACGACGCCACTTCACGTAAAACTCCTGAAATACAACAAAATTTGTCATCTTGAAATTTCACGTTATTTTTTCATAGTCTGTTTTTGTTAACTTTTTATCGCAGTGAAATTAACCCTACACTGCTCAGTTGCCCAAGTTGTGAAGATTCTTGAGAAAATCGGAAATGTTGTGGTAATCTAAAAACAGCCTTTTAAAAGATATGTGATATGGTTGAATTCCGGTCTAGTTGGAATTCCAGTGTAATTTTCCGAAATTTTTTTTCCGAAAAATATTTTTTGTAGCATTTTTGTATAAACTTTTACTAAATTTTCTATTCGGATTTGATGTGAAAGCTGACACATTTAGAAATATTTCAGTTTATGGTTTTGGAAATATGTAGACGATAAAATTTGCAATGTAAAATTTAGATGAAAAATATGCTGTATTCATGAAATCAGAATTTTTCCTATTTTCCGAAAATATTTTCGCATAAATTGCAAGGAAAAAATTTTCCCGCAGTTTTTCGATAACTTGATTGTTTTAGGTTCGTCAATTGTTGATGATACTTGGGAAATGAGTAGTTGATATTTCCGGAAAATGTGAATTTTTTCCGGAAATTTTAATTGAATTTTCTGATGTATTTCCGCTAAAATCTTCGCGTTATGTTCTGTTCCATAACAAATCGATCATCTGGGCGCGCGCGATGTGTTCCTCTGTCCAAGGTTGGTCGCTGTGTTGCTAATTGGAAGGTGTGGAATTTGTGGAAACATTGTATGTGAGGAAGGATTCGGAAATCGATCATCTGATCGATTTGGACTAAAGTTGTATTCGAAATATATTTTTGTTCAGTTTAAGAATTGCGGCGCACAGCGAAGATTTTTGGAAGAAAATATCTTTGATTAGAATCGATTTTCCATAGAAAAGACAGATAGGAAAATTTTTAAGAGGAAAATTTACAATTATTATTATTTTTTATATTTTTCCGGAACAAAATTGAGCCCAGATACTGTATACCGGTGTGAACATTTCCAAAAAATTTTTTGGAATAAAAAATCGGAAAATTTCAATCGCAGAAAGTACCCAAAAATTGACATTTTCCAATTTTTCTATTTTTTTCAGCAAATATTTTCCTATTTTTATCATCCCATAATTCATCACATTTTCTTGGCTGTATTAGCAGCGGCCTTTTCTACTGGTGCGGATGGAAATCTTCGGCGGAAAACGTCACTGCGCCACAAAATTATTTCCGAATCTCCATTTTATTACGCTAAACAAATAACGGATACTGTCGGAAAAACAGCGAAAACTCATGTGATCGAACCAGCTCAAAAAGAATTTTCTGGTAGGAAATAATTTCGTGGATTTTTCAGCGGTTAAATTCAGGCGAGCCAGAAGTATCCGCGCCAGATTGCCCAGGAGATTCTAGTGGGAATAATTTCGTGGCGAGTGACGGAAATTTGCTGTCTGCAGATAAACCATGTATTGTTGGTGATACCTCCACACCCGTTACGGCATCATCATCAAATACGGCTGCTGCTGTACAGGACGAGGACAGCAAGTGGGTGACAAAAGCGCGCGCCATGTTGATCGATTTTGGTTGTCAATTTTTTCAGGTTGATAATGTATATTGTTGGTGGGGTTATTGGTGTGATCGTGATTGGTAGTATTCTTATGAAGTATCAAGCGCTGGGTGAATATACATCTTTTTGGGCACGCATTCTGGCTCTGGCATTAGCAGGAGCGTCGGGTGGCTTTGGAAGTATACAATATAGGTAATAATGACGGGGAATGGTAATGATTTATTGGAGTTTCACCACCCTAGTGATATGAAAAACACTAGTGAAAAACATATTTCACGACTACTGTATATCACCGCGAATTCCGCGTTTTTCACCGAGTTTTACGACGCCACTCCACGTAAAACGGGTAGTTGTGAAACTTCATTTTTGCGCATTTTTTTGAATGAAATTCTACGAATTTGTTACTGTATATCTTTTAATGGAGTTTCACGACCGTGATATGAAAAAAATGCATTTCACGACTACTGCATATCACCGCGAATATCGGGTTTTTTCCCAGAGTATTACGACGCCACTTCACGTAAAACTAGTGAAATTCCATTCATGTTATGACAAATACCGAAATTTACAGTTTCGTTTCGGAAACCGGGGTTTTTGATGTTTTGGCTTTTATTGAGGAAAGCTTCGTAAACTATGATATGTTGGTGAAAATGTGAAAAATTTCGGGAAAAATTTGTTGTTTTTTACCCGAATTTTCATGTAAAATTCCTATCATCAGTTTCCAACTCTGTTTTTTCTTCTCAGCCTTTACAACAACCTGGCGTGCCGTAACTTCACAGCGTTGGGTTACGGAGATTGTCCAGCGCTACTCGCGATTTACGTGATGTGGGGTATGGCTGCATTTCACTTGATATTCAATCTGCCTTTCCTAATGGTTTCCCTCAATAGAATGGCCGACTGGTAATATCAGCGTTGAGGAAATACAAGATTGCAAGATTTGACTTATTTTTCATAGGTATGCGAAATTTGGACTGATGTCACAGGCTTCGGTGTAATGGAAATCTTGAAATCTTGCTAAATCTTGCATTTCCTCAACGCAGATATTTTTCTGTGAATAGTATGGCAGTAGCGACAGTAAAATATGCGGGAGGTGATGTAATTACGTTGGGAATAGTGTCAGCGGGAATTTTGGGTAAGTGGGAAAATTTTGATTTTTTTCGGAAAAATTTTTCGAATTTAGTTGCGATAATGTTCGCAATGGCGTGGTTTCAAGGAGAAGACGGAGTAATTAGAAGAATTATTGATAAAGCTGAAGATGCGGTAAGAAAATTTTCGGGAAAAAAATTTTTTTTTGTGATAAAATTTTCACGAATTTTGGTATTTTTCGGAAAAAGCATTGCAGGTTTCATCGGCGGGATTGATTGGAAATTTTGTGGGATTTTCCGGAAAAAATATTTTTGCGAGGAAATAAATTTCGGTAATTTTCGGAATTTCCACTCGTATAGTTGGAAAAAACCTGGGTGGAATATCTTTCTTTTTCGGGAAATTTTCAACTTTTGGGGGAAAATTTGTATAAATTTTCCGATTTTCTGTAGGTAAGGGCAGCTAGTAAAATGGCTGAGGAGGCGCTGGAGGAAGGACTTAAAATGTAACATGCCGGGATCGAACCTGTGCGGGTTTGATGACACCGGCAGGTTCGGCTTGGACTCTAACGAGCGCTCCAAATTGACTTGTAATAACGTCTACATTCACGCTTGGGTGAGGCCTCGGCCGGGGTTCTTCGACCCAGGAAAAGATGCTGATGGGAATCTACTAGGAGGTGAATCTAAAAGATATCTTTCGTGCCACATTGAGGTCCGACAGTTCCCTCGAATGCTGGGGAGGTAGTTGGCTTTGTTGATATGCATGGCAATGAAGAGGGAGCTAAAGTGTTTAGAGGAGCAGGGTAATATCGATCTGATTTCGATCGATTTCAAATCGATCACGTGATCGATTATAGGTATGCGAAAGTTCGTTGGGAACCTGCAGTTGAAGGAGAAAAGCCAAGCTTTACTGAGTGGGTTGTATATAATCGATTACGAGGGCGCGCGCTAAATACATTTCGTCAGGCATAGTATTGCAGAATCGTCATCGGAGCTTCAGATTGTGGATGACGAAACTGGAATTGTTGATAAGCTCGTGGGAGATACGATGGCGTGAG